AGGATTTAGAAGTGCACTAGGAAGTGGACAGCAACCAGATAGTCCTGAACACAACTTCATGTTAGGTACGGTCATAGGAAATACCTAGACTAACTGGTTCCCAGTGATAAACTTTCGAAGTTCCTTCATGCCGAACCAGTCTGGCTGTTTTCTGTCTGTTATGTTTTTGGATCTGTTTTGTACAATACTGTAATTCATGCTTGCATATCTGCCTGTGTCTTCCAGGATGATTTGTTGGTATTGAGGAAAACAGTGAAATCCTTTCTGGCTGTTTGCCAACAGTGCCTATCTAATGTTAATACTCCAGTTAAAGAACAGGTAAGAAATTATTAATTTAGTACCAGATAAAAACAACACAGATATATAGGTGAATAGTAAAAAGACATCATGTTATGACACTTTGTAATGTATTATGTATCTAACATCTAGGGCAAGAGTGTAGATGTCTGAATAATGTAGTTATAAAGCAAGGTAACTTGTTTCATAAATAAATTCTGCTCCTGTACTTTGACAAGTACACTGTCATCACCTGCAAGACTTAAGTTTAGACTTTTTTGGGTCATGGAGCTTGACTTTGGGGCCTGGGTGCTATCGCTGAGCTCTTTTTCACTCAAGGCGAGCACTCTACCACTTTGTGCCACAGCGCCACTTCCAGTTTTCTGGTGATAGATTGGAGAAGAGTCTCAGACTTTCCTGCCTGGGCTGGCTTTGAACCATGATCCTCAGCCACCTGAGTAATTAGGATTACAGGCATAAACCACCAGTGCCCAGCTTAAATTTAGATCTGATACTTTAAACTCAGGGCTTTGTACTTGCGAGGTTGGTACTCATCTCTTGAGCCATGCCTCCAGCCCTGCCTTTTGCTGGTTCAAAACTTTAAACTGGGAAGGTGGCTCCGTGGTAGAGTGTTTGCCTTGCATGCATGAGGCCCTGGGTGCAATTCCTCAGCACCACATAAGCAGAAAAAGTCGGAAGTGGCACTGTGGCTCAAGTGGTAGAGTGCTAGCTTTGAGCTGAATTGTTCAGGGACAATGCCCAGGCCCAGGGTTCAAGCCCCGTGACGTCCAAAAAAAAACAAACTTTGAACCAATTTTTATTTACTGATTACTTACTTAAGTACTGGTCCTGGGACTTGAACTTAAGGCTTGGGTACTGTCTCTGAACTAATTTGCTCAAAGCTACTGCTCGGTTACCACTTGAGCCAGAACTTTATTTCTAGTTTTTTGGGTTTTTTTTTAATTGGAGATAAAAGAGCCTCATGGGAAATTCTTGCTCAGGCTAGGTTGATCCTCAGATCATGGCCTCCCAGTAACTAGGATGATAGGCATGAGCCACTGGCATTCAGCTTAGAATCCCTCCCTCCCTTCCTTGTTGCCGTTGGTCATGGGGCCTGAACTCTGGGCCTGGGCGCTGTCCCTCAGCTCTTCAGCTCAAAGCTAGCACTCTACCACTTGAGCCACAGCGCTACTTTTGGTTTTCTGGTGGTTCATAAGAGTCTCACAGACTGCTGCCTGGGCGGGCTTTGAACTGTGATCCTCAGCTCTCAGCCTCCTAAGTAGCTAGGCTGACGGGCGTGAGCCACTGGCGCCAGGCTGGGCTTAGAATTCTTGACTGCTGCCTGTACTAGGACAGGGGAGCCTTGATGCTGACTTCTTGTCATCGTTCTTCAGCTCCTTCCCACACTGGGAAGAGCTTCATTTCTGCACTTGTAACTAGTCCAGCGCAACCCAGCTGCCCTTCACCAACCTAAGACCTGGGAGTGGGCATACTGGAGCTGTCCTGTGTGTCAGGAGGCGGCCTTGTGAAGGCTTGGACAAAGAGCCGCTCTGTTAAGGCAGGAAATTCCCAGACATGTCTCCCTGGACAGTGTGCAGAAGTCAGGGTTGCGATGGAAATATCCTTCCAGTCCACCAACTCCACAGGCCTCTCCACCCAAGGAACCACTGTGGAAACTTTCTTCACTTACACTTGTATGCAAGGCGGAGTCTACCTTTTCCATACTATATTTTTTACTGGCTTTCAGTACTGGGTTTTGTGCTTGACCACCTGAACCAAGCCTCCTCTCTTTGCTTTTGAGATCTCACTTTGTGCTGGGGCTGGCCTGGGTGCGGATCCTCCCGCTTCCACTGGCCACCAGAATACCACACCCCACAAACTTCCCGCCCACCCTCCAGCCCTTGCCACCCGCATAGGCTGGATTTGAAGCATGGACTTCCGCCCATCCTCCAGCCCTTGCCACCCGCATAGGCTGGATTTGAAGCATGGGGCCCCACAGCCTGGCCTGTGCTTTTTCTGCTGGGCCGGGACATGGTCACCTTCCAGGACAGATGTAGCACTGTTCATCCTGCGATGCCCTGTCTCTTTTACTGCACCATCAGCATTTAACGGGAAGTAGAAACTGAGATGGTCTTCCCTAACCCCTCAGAACCCCAGCAGTGTGGACTGGAAATGCCCGGCTCCATCCAGTGTCTGCATCAAGGCTGGCTCGAATTCCCACGAAGCCCCCTGCCCTGTGAGCGTGGCTCCTGCAGCGCACTCCTATGGTCAGGGTTTACAGCAAGGGCATGAGCTGCGCGGTGGCTCAGGTGGCGGCTGGGATGTTCCTAGCCATAAATAAACGCCCAGCTGATGGTGCTCCTTAGAAATAAATGTTTAGAGTTTGAATATAAGTTGATTGTTTGGACATTTCAGAACCTGAAAATTCTTACGAGAGAGTTACTACATAAACTCATGACATGTATTCACGTCTCCCCCTCCATTAAATATTTACAACTCGGCAGCATAAGCCAGGGATCAGTGGCTCACGCCTGTCATCCTAGTTACACAGGAGACTGAGATCTGAGGGTTGCGGTTTGAAGCCAGCCCAGGCAGAAAAGTCCCTGTGAGACTCTTTATCTCCAGTTAGCCACTCAAAAAGCAATGGAGCTGTGGCTCAAAGTGGTAGAGCACTAGCCTTGAGCGAAAGAGCTCAGGGCCCTGAGTTCAAGCCTTGCACTGATTTTTTAAAAAAGAAAAAACAAAAACAAAATAAAAACTTGGCAGCATAAACCTGTATTGTAATATTTTGTCTTTGGTGAACTGGTAACTAAACTTAGTAAGAGGCCTTACAGGACTTATTATATCAATGTTTTTAGATTCTTTTTTTTATATTTTTACTTAAGAATTCCAAATTGTAGTGTACAGGCTTAGGATTCTACATTATAATGTGCTGAACTACAGAGATTATCTTAAAACTTAGGCTGATTGTTTGATTATGTAACAGGTAATAGATTTCTGGTGTCGGTCATAATCATTTGTATTGTCAGTTGAATTTAACTGATTTTTCAAATTCAAGCCAAAAATATTTTGGTGATCTGTTTCTACGTTACTACCCTCAAATAACGGGTAGTATTGGGATGTGGGTGATAAAAGTCATGCTGTTAGGTGGGGCGTTTGAAGGCTGGAACGTCAGTGTTTAACATTGACGTTGCAGTCCTGCTGTTGAGCCACACTATCGTGGTTTGACGGCTGCTGGCTCGTAGTCGTGTGCGCATGAACACACTTCTGCTAATGCACTCCCTCTCTCCATTTCAGGCTTTCATGTTACTCTGTGATCTTCTGATGATTTTTAGCCACCAGTTAATGACGGGTGGCAGAGAGGGCCTCCAGCCCTTGGTGTTTAATCCAGATTCGGGCCTCCAGTCTGAGCTCCTCAGTTTTGTGATGGATCATGTTTTCATTGACCAGGATGAAGAGAATCAAAGCATGGGTAATTACAGTGATTGTTTTGTCGATATCTATCTTGTTTCATAAATCTCACAAGACAAAGAAAAAAGCCAAATTAGATCTTCAAAATTCTGGTATTTCACCCGGCACTGGTGGCTCAGTGGTTATTCACTCCTGAGTAATCCTCAGGAGGCTGAAGGTGGGCAATTGCAGTTCAAAGCCAGCCTAGAAGAGTCCATAAGACTCTGGGGTTTTTTTTGTTTTGTTTTGTTTTGCCAGACCTGGGGCTTGAACTCAAAGCCTGGGCGCTGTCCCTGAGCTTCTTTTGCTCAAGGCTAACACTACCACTGGAGCCACAGCGCCGCTTCCAGCTTTTTCTGTTTATGTGGGACTGAGGAATCGAACCCAGGGCTTCATGCAGGCAAGGTGAGCGCTCTACCACTAAGCCACCTTCCCAGCCCAAGACTCTTTCTCCAATATACTACTAAAAAAGCCTTCAGTGGAGCGGTGGCTCAAGTGGTAGAACACTAGCCTTCAGCAGAAAATCTCAGGAACAGCGCCCAGGTCCTGAGTTCAAGCCCCTCAGGATGGGGGATATTTCTCTCCTGCAGAAAAGTAAACTATTGGGCTGAGGTGTAGCTTGGTACAGTGTTTGCGGGGCAGTGTCTGCCTGTGCACGGTGCCTCCCACCAAGTGTACACTCAATCCTGTGTACGTACATAAATACATATTTGTGCATTTCAGAACCAACAGGAACAAAATGTAGATAACACCTTGCTCCTTTAAGAGTAACTTAGAAGCCAGTCATGGTGGCTCATGCCTGAAATTCCAGCTACTCATGGGACCAAGATTGAAATTTGAGCCCATTCCAGACAAAGTTAGTGAGACTTCCATTTCAGCAAATAAACCAGGCATGGTGGTTCACAGCTGCAATCCCAGCTACGTGGAGGCATAGGTAGGAAGAAGGCGATCCAGGGTTGGCCCTGGGTAAAATGTAAGCAAGACCCTGTCCTTATGTAAAGTACAACCACTTGGTGCATGACCCGCTCAAAACATCCATGTTTCACAACAGGTTAATTAGAAAAAAGCGAAGAAAGGTGTCGAGTAAATTCCACGGGTACATATATGTGCAGAAGAAAATAACTAAGCTGAAGTCAAATAAAGCAGGCCTGGATGTGAGAGGGCATAGCAGAGCCCAGAACTGATATTAGCATCTGGTCCCTTAGAAGGAAACTTGGTAGGGTTGGAAATAGGTAAGCCAGTGAGGTTTGACATTAAAAATTTGAGGACGATACCCCTAAGTGTTTTGAAAGTTTTTGTAAAGCTTATCATTTATGTGTGCGAAATGTGAGCTGCAAAAAGACATCATTTCCCAGTGGAGAGAAGGGAGCTGGGTAGCAGCTCCTTGAAGAGAAGCGAAGTTAGCTTTCAGCTGCAGACTCTGCGGGGGGGGGAAGGGGCAGGTTCGTGACTCATTCCTTTCCTGTGCTTAGAGGGCGATGAAGAAGACGAAGCTAACAAAATTGAAGCCTTACATAAAAGGAGGAACCTCCTGGCTGCCTTCAGCAAGCTCATCATTTACGACATCGTGGACATGCATGCGGCCGCGGACATCTTCAAGCACTACATGAAGGTAGAGCTTCAAACTTGGATTCCTCCCTGTTGTGCTGTTAAAGCAAATGGGTGATGGCGTTGTCCGTCTGGGCCCCTCAGGAGTTCCTGACACTGACAGCAGAAACACGGTTTCTGGCTGCTTTTTCTCCAAGTGCGGTGCTCAGCACTCTGGCATGGCCAGACAGGAGAGATGTTCTGCCTGGCCTGTGTTAGAGGCTGGCCGGGTTCCACTTGGGACTTGTATAGGTTGAGCAAAATCTAAAAATGTTTCAGCATCAAGCACTTAACTAAGTTCAGATTTTTGATTGAGGAATGTCCTACCAGAAAAAAGTCCGTTCAGATGTCCCAAAAAGTCTGAAAATGTTGAAGTATTTCCAGTCTCCACCTTGCAGACAAGGGTGGTGCTCCTGCCGTCCCAGCCGCCCTACCCTGCCGAGGCCCAGAGCCGCACAGAGGCACGCTCGGGACCTTAGCTGACTAGGAGAACAGAACAGCCATGAGACTCTGAGAAGTTCACACGTAACAGGACTACTCCAGGCCAGACCAGCACTTACCTTACAAATAAGGAAAGCAGCACTAGATTGGCATTCCCAAAGTGACCAAAATGGATTTTATCTTCTGTCTTTAAAGCATTGCTCTGTATACTGGACAGCAAAGACTCCTCATGATTATAGATTAGATAGACACATACAGATAGATCCACAAACAGACACACACACACACAACTACAGAGCTTATACCAAATACACAGAGAGACCAGAGTTAAAACTAATAGCCAAACATTTAACTCGCACTATGTTTAAGATGTAAAAAATGGCATTCATACTGTACTTGCCCACTCTTTGATCATAAGATTTCAGTTGTTGTAAAGCTCCCTTTTCTTTCTTTTCCTCATAGTACTACAATGACTATGGTGATATCATTAAGGAAACCCTTAGTAAAACCAGGCAGATTGATAAGATCCAGTGTGCCAAGACCCTCATCCTCAGTTTACAACAGGTAAGAACTGGAAGGGGAGGAGACGAACACTCTGTGCTTACAAGGTGCGAAGTATCTTTATTAAACTGTCTCATCTGTCAGTATATTACTATGGTTCCTCTGCAAAGAAATGTCTTTTATTTTGGTAAGTAAACCTGTAGTTCATGTTTCAAACAGATGCTCTAGCTTTGGGCCAAATGAAATATCAAGTTCAAAATTTAACATGTAAATTTCTAGAAAAAGTATTTGAGGAAGGTGTACCAGAAATATTCCCAAAGGAAAATGCACTACTAGTGGGCGCCAGTGCCATGCCTACCCTAGCTACGCAGGAGGCTGAGATCTAAGGATTGAAGTTCAGTGCCAGCCCAGGCACGAAAGTCCATGAGACTCTTATTTCCCAATTAACCAGCAAGAAGCCAGAAGTGGGGCTGTAGCTCAAGCAGTAGAGCACTAGCCTTGAGCAAAAAAGCTCAGGGACAGTGCCTGCCCTGAGTTCAAACCCAGGACTGGCACCAAAAAAAGAAAATATACTACATATATTGCATAAAATTTCTAGAGCGCTTGCCTTGCATGCCTGAGGCCCTGGGTTCGATTCCTCAGCACCACATAAGCAAAAAGAAAAAAGCCGGAAGTGGCGCTGTGGCTCAAGTGGTAGAGCGCTAGCCTTGAGCTGAAGAGCTGAGGGACAGCGCCCAGGCCCAGAGTTCAGGCCCCCGACCAGACCCAAAAAAAAAAAAAAATTTCTAAAACACAAAATGTTTATAAATTGGAGGTTTCTGGGAGCCTAGAGATTTATGCATATACACATGAGTGTGTGTGTTTATGATAAAGGTCTTACTTCAGCTCATTGTGAGGAAAAGGATTAGGAATTTTCAGTGCTGATGAGTCAGTTGACAATGTATTATATAAATTTGTAAAAACAAGTTTAAGTCTGTAAGAAGATAAAGGTAAAGGTCGATTTTCTAAATCCACTTCAGGATTTTTTAAGTCCTAAGGAGTCCATAAAGCAAAAATCACATGTTGGTGTCTGTATGAACTTAAATAGATTTCACGTCAGTAAGCACTTTTAAAAAAATACCTGAGCTGGGTGCCTGTGGCTCTCGCCTGTCATCCTAGCTACTCAGCAGGCTGTGATCTGAAGATCACGGTTCAAAGCCAGCCAGGACAGGAAAGTATGTGAGACTCTTATCTCCAATAAACCACTAGAAAGCCGGAAGTGGCACTGTAGCTCAAGTGGTAGAGTGCTCGCCTTGAGCTGAAGAGCTGAGGGACAGCGCCCAGGCCCAGAGTTCAAGCCCCACGGACAACAACAACAAAAAGAATCCAAAGCTGATAGAGCAGGCTCAGATGGGGGGCTCTTACCCCTCCCCCCAGTACCACCCCAAGAAAAGTAAACACAGCTGAGAAACTGGGAGAAAATGTTTGCAGATATTCATAGCTTGCTTCACATGAATAAAAAAAGTCAAGTGAACAGAAGGGTACGACAGAGGCAGTTTTCAGAGAGCGAAGCTAACCGGTGAACACGGAAGGGACGTGACTGCATCAGTAACGCGAGAGAGATGGGGAGGAGGCGCTGAGCGCCGGTGCTGGTGTGACTGCAGTGGCAGGCGGGGCTGGGCGCAGGCCGTGCCGTGCGCGCTATCCTTTGACGGCTACGTGCACTGGCTCCAGCCATGCCGCTGCCGCTGCCTCTGCACGGACGCACCTGCCACGCTGTGCCCGCACGTCCTCTCGGCCGGTGCTCCGCCGCAGCAGTCTCTGAAACAGCGTCCACAGAGAACGCCGCGCACTCATACCAGAGGAATGGCTCCATACACGGACCCTCGGACGCGCTCCCCACTCCACCCCCACCCCCCACCGGCTCTCCACCGCCGCCCAGGCCAGCCTGGGGTGCCTGGGCTCCTGGGCTCACGGATCCTGCTTCAGCCTCCCATGTATCTGGGCCTGCAAGTGCACACCAGCACCTCCGTTTAAAACACTTGTAACAGAACGGGAAGTGGAAAGAGTTCCAGAACAAAATAGCTCATTCTAAAACAAAGTCCGTGTCCACGGTATTCCGCGTTGCTGTGGGGACGCAGCTTCAGTCTTCCACTTGGGTTACCTGTTGTAAACGGAAGCCAAGTGTTATCTGCTCAGTGTAGTTTAATTTTTCCTGTTTTGGTTTCTCTCAGCTGTTCAACGAGCTGGTTCAGGAGCAAGGCCCTAACCTAGACCGGACATCTGCGCATGTCAGTGGCATTAAGGAGCTGGCTCGACGCTTTGCGCTTACGTTTGGGCTGGACCAGATCAAAACGCGAGAGGCCGTGGCCACCCTCCACAAGTGAGTGACGGGCAGACCGCTGTCCCCCGGGGCTGCGTGCCCCGCCCTGGCTGAAGCAACCCGCCACAGGATGTTCTGTGAGATAATGTAGTTTAGACAGTCTCAACATGGTGGCATTTATTTAAAAAAAAATCCTTTACCATCCACCTCCCCCTTTTTATAAAGTACGTCTTATCTGTTTGAAAAATCGTGAGGAAAACATGGGATTAAAAGAGTATATAGGGTGGGGGGCGGTGGCTCACACCTGTCATTGTAGCTACTCAGGAGGCTGAGGTCTAAGGATGGCAGTTCAAAGCCAGCCTGGGCAAGAAAGTCCAGGAGACTCTTATCTGCAGTGAACCACAAGAAACCTGGAAGCGGTGCTGTGGTAGAGCACTCTCCTTCAGCACAGAGAGGTTCAGGGACAGCGCCCAGGCCCTGAGTTCAAGCCCCACAACCGACAAACAAAAAAGTATGTAGGGCTGGGGTGGAGCTCCATGGTAAAGCATTTGCTTAGCAAGTGCAACATGCTGGGTTCACTCCCCATCACCAGAAACCAGAGTATAGAACCGTAATTTGGTTGGTGTCATTTCATAACTGAGAGAACCAAGGCAGAGGAACTGCGCGGCTGCTGAGCGCCGGGAGCCCCGGCCTCCCTCACACAGCGCGGACGCCAGCCCGCGGCCCGCTCGCCACGGCCGCACACCCGTACCACAGACAGACTCCTCACAGCTCACTAGCTTCACCGACAACAGCACTTGCCCAAACATTGCTGTTACGTTAGCCGGTATCTATCTGGAAAAAATAAAATGCTGTCGTCTTTTAACTCAGGGATGGCATCGAGTTTGCCTTTAAATACCAAAATCAGAAAGGACAAGAGCATCCGCCTCCCAATCTGGCCTTCCTGGAAGTACTGAGCGAATTCTCTTCTAAACTTCTTCGACAGGACAAAAAGACTGTGTAAGTTTCACACCATCGTCGAAGTGGTTTGTATAATTAATGACACCAGTGGAACTTTCAGTATTTGTGTTTTTAACTGGCTTACCTTAATTGCACATAGTAAGGAATTTTATGACAATGTTTGAAAGAGCTTTAATCTTGTAGCTCTAATTGTTACTGATAATTTCAGCTCCGCTACTGCTCAGAAGCTTGCGTTTCCTTGCAGGGTTTGGGGCTTGCTTTCTCTTTCCTCGCCCACTCCTAGGCTAGAAAATATGAGGTGAAATTAAGTAGATGGCAGTCCCTTCAGAGATGATGAGCATTGTACTGTGATTCGGTTTTACTGCTACTTTTTATTTTGTTTCAAGAAAATGAACTTTTGTGGGGCCTGGTGGCACGCGCTTGAGATGCAAACGCAGAAAGCTGCGTGCGGGGCAGTGCGGGCTGCGCAGGACAGCAGGCTCTCCCCCACTGACACAGGGAGGGAGGAGGTGAGAAAAGACTGACTTTAAAAAAAGAAAAGTGAAAGGTCACAAAATTAATTTTCGGGACACAGATATGTGCATGCCAACGGCGAGACTTTCAGGCAGTAAGTGACATGAGGATTGGTGGGAGTGACGTGATTTGAAAGCATTATAAAATTTAACTGCAGCCGGGCGCCGGTGGCTCACGCCTGTCATCCTAGCTACTCAGGAAGCTGAGATCTGAGGATTGAGGTTCAAAGCCAGCCCCGGCGAGAAAAGCCATGAGACTCTTACCTCCAATTAACTACCAGAAAACAAGAAGTGGTGCTGTGCTCAGGTGGTAGAGCGCTAGCCTTGAGCTGAAGAGCTGAGGGACAGCGCCCAGGCCCAGAGTTCAAGCCCCACGACCAACCAAAAAACGCATAATTTTAACTGCTACATAAAAGGAAAAACATAAGAATTTATAAAACAGCATGATGATATTGTGGTATATATGTGTGTATATATTCTGATATACACATGCGCACATACACACACACACACACACACAGTGTAATACTTAGGTTAAACAGATCTCTCACAGTTGATGGACTTTTCCTTGGAGCTAGTGGCTGGAGCTGTTTGTTTTCCCTGGCGTGTGCCTCGTGAGTCCTCGGGGGTTCGTGCTCTCTGTGTCCATCTGCACTGTGAGCAGTGTGCATTCTGTCCTTGGCCAGTTGTGTTCTGCATACGTCTGTTGCGTTGGAGTGGTTGTTTGCAGCTCTTTCTGTGTTGGGCGAGGTTAGAGGTGAAGGCTTGATTCTGCTGTGAGGTTTCAGTCGAGGGTTGGTGCGCTTGCTGCAGGCTGTGGTGGGAAGAGCACGCACCGTGGCAGGAGGCAGACAGGAAGGGGTGCGCGCTGGCAGTCCCGCCACCTCCTTCCCGGCCCCAGCTCTGGAGAGTGACGGAGCTGTGACTGACCGGTGCAGCAGCTACCTCTCAGCTGCCCCAAGCCTGGGAGCTGGCAGGAGCCCCCCGTGTCTCCTCCACCCCTGCGTGGCGCTTCTAGCCAGAGTGGGGACAGGGGACGTGGAGGACAAGTCGGTCCCAGTACTTAGCATCTACATTTTTCTCCGTCGGCTCGATGCGCTTAGGTTGTTGAATTTATAAAGACAAGACCAATGGGTCTTCATTTTTACCGGCGGGAGGTGCTTTAGCTAGAGAGCAGAAGGCCGCCGGCCGCTGCGCGCTCCCAAGGTCTGGAGTGACACTGAAAGAGCAATTCCAGAATCTTTTTGACCAAACTTGGGAGGTTTTTTGAAACTGGTATGTAAAGGCAAAGGAAGAAGTAGGAGTGGCCTGAAATTATCCCAGGAGTACGTGACACGAAACCAAGCGAGCGGAGCTGGGAGCGCTTCGGTGACGCAGCGCTCTCCCTCTTCCAGACACTCGTACCTGGAGAAGTTCCTGACGGAGCAGATGATGGAGCGGCGGGAGGACGTGTGGCTGCCGCTCATCTCCTACAGAAACTCGCTCGTCACTGGAGGCGAGGACGACAGGATGTCCGTGAACAGCGGAAGCAGCAGCAGCAAGACGTCCTCAGTGAGGAGCAAGAAGGGCCGGCCCCCGCTGCACAAGAAGCGGGTGGAAGGTGAGCGCCCTTCCCTCAGGCCGGACGCCCCGGCCTTGCAGCGAGAGAGAAATGCATGTCCTGTGTGTGAGGCGCCCCGAGATGTCCAGGGCGAGAGCTGGAACAGACAGGGTGGGGAGAGGGTGGAAGAGCATAAGGACAGAGGCCAGCTAATACGTCCGGGGAACTGACCCCAAGTGCACTAGCCCTTGCTGCTGCTCTGAGCCACGTTAGTGAACAGGAGGCCACCTGCCGCCCCTGCCCCTCGGCTGCCACTTTACCCTCCACCACGCCAGTTCTAGCTTCATAGAGCATGGAACTGTCAGGAAAATGGGATGGGGTAAGTATTCCATTGAGTCGGTGTCCCTGCTCTTCAGCTGTGCGTCAATGCACTTACTTCTCAAGACCCCTTCTTGCAACTGTGTGGCAAGATGGATCATAATTTAAATGTGTCATTATTGCCTAGTGATGAAAAGCCCAGAGCTAGCCGGGCGCTGGTGGCTCACGCCTGTAATCCTAGCTACTCAGGAGGCTGAGATCTGAGGATCACGGTTCAAAGCCAGCCCCGGCAGGAGAGACCGTGAGACTCCTATCTCCAATAAACCACCAGAAAACCGGAAGTGGCGCTGTAGCTCAAGTGGTAGAGCGCTCGCCTTGAGCTGAAGAGCTGAGGGACAGCGCCCAGGCCCAGAGTTCAAGCCCCACGACCGACCAAAAAAAAAGAAAAGAAAAGCCCAGAGCTAAGATCAGAATTAGAATTCAGACGAGGCTTTCTCCTTGTGAGCTGGGTATGTGTCTTTAGATCTGCACGCTAGTTGTAATCACTGGTGTAAAGAAAGGCGCTCGGTGCCACCTCCCCTCGGTGCTGAGCATGCGCAGTGGCCTTCTTCAGTTCTTCCATGCACACGGCGCTCAGAGCTGCAGCCCCGTTTGGTCCTGTAGTTGTAGTGATGGCTCACTGCCTGGAATCCACAGGCCCTGCTCATCTTCAGCTCCGGGCTGTCATCCTTTTCACCCAAACAGGGAACGCCTCCGCTTGATCCTTCACCACACTGGGCTTTTTTTTTTTTCTTTTTTTTTTTTTGTCGGTCGTGGGGCTTGAACTCTGGACACTGTCCCTCAGCTCTTTAACTCTAGGCGAGCGCTCTACCACATCAGCCACAGAGCCACTTCCGGTTTTCTGAGTGGTTTATTGGAGATGAGAGTTTCCTGCCCAGGCTAGCTTTGAACCAGGGTCTTCAGGTCTCAGCCTCCCAAGTAGCTCCCAGGCATGAGCGACTGGCGCTGGGCTTTGGACTTTCTCTGAACAGTGAATGCCGTCGTTTTTCTTTGAAAGTATCCTCCACCACGGTTCTCCACGTTTATCTGTTGTTTCCCACTCAGTCTTAGAAACAGTCACCCGATCCTCAGTGAGCGTCAGTCCTTTAGCCGGCGTCTGATGAAGTGGTCTAGCTCACCGCTGTTGCTCAGACTTTACAAAGCAGCTAACTTGAAAAAAAGTCAATACCCATAATGCCACTTACTGACAGCAGCCATAATTCAGGAAGCGTGTGTGGCCCGGATGACCTCACTTGGTGATTGCTAAGAGCAGAGAAGAGCAGCAGTCCCCCATGGTAGAACGGGACTTGGCGTGACCTGTGGACATCATAAAGCGCTGGTGGGCGGAGGGGGGCTCGGGGATGGGGACTGGAGCCGAGCTGTGGTGAGACGCTGACCGTGCCGCTGGAACCTTCCAGATGAAAGCCTGGACAACACGTGGCTCAACAGGACGGACACCATGATTCAGACCCCCGGCCCCCTGCCCACGCCGCAGCTCACGTCCACGGTGCTGCGAGAGAGCAGTCGGCCGGCCGGAGAGCAGATCCAGGAGCCCGAGTCGGAGCACGGCGCCGAGCCAGACTTCCTGCACAAGTGAGTACGCACGCACGCACGCACGCACGTGGAGAGAGCAGAGCCGCCATCAGACACGACACGCGGGCCACACATTATCCCCAGCAGGCCCGATAGAGCCCCGCGCGCGGCACTGGCACCTGGGCCTCGTGCCTGTTCATGTGTCCTCCTCCTGCTGGGACACGCTGTGAGCGGTCACCGTGTCACACAGCCACGCCGCGAGCAATCACCGTGTCACACAGCCACGCCGCGAGCAATCACCGTGTCACACAGCCACGCCGCGAGCAATCACCGTGTCACACAGCCACGCCGTGAGCAATCACCGTGTCACACAGCCACGCTGTGAGCGGTCACCGTGTCACACAGCCACGCCGTGAGCAATCACTGTGTCACACAGCCACGCTGTGAGCGGTCACCGTGTCACACAGTCACGCCGTGAGCGGTCACCGTGTCACACAGCCACGCTGTGAGCGGTCACCGTGTCACACAGCCACGCCGTGAGCGGTCACCGTGTCACACAGCCACGCTGTGAGCGGTCGCTCCCGTGTCACCCGGCGAGGGAGAGGCACGGAGGCAGTGGCAGCGCTGGCGTGGGCTGTGCAGCCTGGGTTCCCGCAGGCCGCTGGCCGCAGAGGCTGCGACTTCCTTTCTCCACGCAGCACTGGCGCTCGCCGCGCGCTCTGCCACAGCCGTCCTTCCCGCGCCGTCGCGGTGGCGGTCCTGTGGACGACAGCCGCTCGGTCCCACCACTGGAGCATGTTCTCGTGGCCAGGGAAGAGCGCGTGTGGGGCGGGTGTGGCTCTGTCCTGAGCGCGCGAGGGCCGCTGGGCGGGCGGGTGGGCAGGCAGTCACGGCGCCTCTCAGCCCGCAGATGCAGATCTCCTGGCTAGGCCAGCCGAAGCTAGAAGACTTGAATCGGAAGGACAGAACGGGAATGAACTACATGAAAGTGAGGGCCGGAGTGCGGCACGCCGTGTGAGTGTCTGGGCTGCTCATGCGGGGCGGGGCGGGGTGGGGCGGGGCTGCTCTTGCGGGGCGGGGCGGGGTGGGGCAGGGCAGATTGGTGTAACTTGTGTCCTGCCACCCAGGATGGTGGTGGGAGCCTGGGCTCTGCGGCCTGTGGCATCTGAATCCCAGTGCAGCCCAGCCTTGCCACCGTAGCTGTAGCCTGCCTGTGCCTCAGTTTCCCCCTCTATGCAAGGCAGTCATTAATAACAAGCCAGATTGATACATAGCTAAGTCTGTGCCTTATTATTTAATTATTGCATTTAGTGATCTTCTGGGGTTTGAACTCACAGCCTTGGCACTGTCACTTGAGCCACAGCACCACTTCTGGTTTTCTGGTGGTTCATTGGAGATACGAGTCTCATGGCCTTTCTTGCCCAGGCTGGCTTTGAACTGTGATCCTCAGATCTCAGCCTCCTGAGTAGCAGGATTATAAGCGTGAGCCACAGGTGCCTGGCTTTCCTTTTCCGGTGCTCGGGCTCGAACAGATGGCCTGGGTGCTGTCCGCAGCTGCCTTTTGCTCCGGGTTAGTGCTGAACCACAGCGCACTCCACTTTTGAGTTCCTTTGGGTAGTCTAGTGGAGGTGAGCGTCTCAGGCTGGTTTTGAACTGGTTGGTGGTTCACGTGCGGGCGCTCATGGTCAGCGTGGAGTCTGTAGGGCACAGTACAAAGTGAGCTCCTCGAGGAGAGCCAGGCCTTGGCGTGGCTGGGTGCGCACGCTGACCGCAGCTCTGCTTCGCAGCCGCGGGCTGATGGAGGAAGACGCGGAGCCCATCTTCGAGGACGTCATGATGTCGTCGCGGAGCCAGCTGGAAGACATGAACGAGGAGTTTGAGGACACCATGGTTATCGATCTGGTACGGGATGGCAGCGTTGGGGGGCGGGGGGGCGTCATCAGTCCCCCGTTTGGATGACCTTCCATGTTCTCAAGCTTTTTCTGTTTTGCCAATGACAGAATGGTGTGTGCGTGCACGTGTGTGTGCATGCCATAGCCCTGGGCTTGAATTCGTTTGCTTAAGGCTGGCACTCTATCACTTGAAAACAGCCCCGCTGTGGGCTTAATGGGTAGTTGGAGATCTGAGTCTCGCAGGCTTCCCCTCCTGGGCTGGCCTCGAACCTTGATCTCCTTGCCGAGTAGCTTGGATTACTGTGTGAGCGAGCGTCTTTTTTGCCTTTCTTGTAAAACCTTCCTCACCGCCCATCTTTTGGCACACTGCCAAAAAAACAAAACAAAAAGACAAAAACCCAGGACTGGGGAGTCTGCTGTGCCGCCGGGGACACCGAGGCAGGAGGGCTGGGAGTTCAAGGCCACAGACCAAGACCCCCAGCCCAGAAAGCCGGCCTGCCCGCTGCGCGACTCCTGGCCGCAGCGTGGTCTCAACCCTTTCTTTTCAGCCCCCGTCAAGGAACCGGCGCGAGCGAGCTGAGCTGAGGCCGGACTTCTTCGACTCGGCAGCTATCATAGAGGACGACTCAGTGAGTGCCGCCCCCCCCCCCAAGCGCGGGCCGGGCCGCGGGCGCTGGGCGCTGTGCACTGTGCCGACGCTGACCCCCTGTTTCTCCTCATCCCCCTAGGGATTTGGAATGCCTATGTTCTGAACTCCGAAGAGAAACTTACAAACCTGGAACTCTATTCTCTAGAGCTAGAGGCCTATATACTGTGATAGCTTGTGTGGGGAGAGCACACTTCTGCTGGGACCTGGTTGGTTGCTTAGCGCCGTGATTGAAGGTCAGTCGGTTTTTGCAGTGGCGGCAGGGGAGAGGATGCGATGCGGACGCGGCCCAAGGAGACGCGGCGACCTCACCTCAGAAAGGCCGGCGGGCCGCCCCGGCCCCCCTCCCCACCCACCCCCCCGCCAGACTGCTCCGTTGCAGATGCGTGTTTTTCTGGAGGAAGGAAGAAATTTTAAATTTTTAAAAAACAGCTGTCAAGATAAACACTGTTATACACCTGTTTTATGGAAACTCCACCTTGAGTAAAAAAAAAATATTTTTAACTTTATTTTCCTGTTGTACAATTTAAAAACCGTTTAACATTTTGCCTTTTTATGTTTTAAGAGCTAACCATTTTTATTAAACCTGTGAGTACGCAGCTCCGCTATGGCTGAAGAGTGTTTCTGGAGCTCACTGGGTTGGTTGCCCGTGTAGACACACACAACGTGAGCACGCCAAGGTGTAAGGTGGACGTCGTGCGTCGCTGCCAAAACCACGCCCTCTGCCGCTACGGATAGCACTTCCCCGATTTTATAGACTCTTGAATAAAAAGGTTTATTTTTATTTATAAATGGGCACAAAGGAAAAAATGCCCGTTGCAGCCATTTTTTCCAGCAGATGCTGAACACCGTCCACTTTATATACACTAGGAAGAAGTTTCCAGAACAGTGCATTTTCTATTGGCATTTGTCCTGGGCATTTTTAGCAACTTCTACCAGCAAATAAAGGATTCTCAGTAAAAAAACAAAAATGATTCACCACTTCAGGCCCTGCCAAATTCAACTTACAGATGTCTGTTTTCTCACCAAGATAATCATGAAGAATCCTTTGCCATTTTAAGTGTTACCCAACTGTCTACTTGCGTGCACTTGATACCCTTCCGCGTACGTGTGTGAGTTCCGTTTCCTGATGCTAGAAGTCTGTGCTTAGAGGGTGACGTGCTTCGGCTGCCTTGACCCACAGCTGCTCCGTGTTCCGTGTGCGTGTGACCCAAGTTCTCTGGGGGAAGAGAGACGCGACCAATCTTGAGGACGGGCTGCCGTGGCTTAGAGTTCATAGTCTGCTTGGACTTTCACGACTTGCTGCTATGTTTTTAAAAGCCCACTTGCTTCCTTTCTGGCTTTTCCCGAAAGCCTCAAATCCCAAACCAATCCGTGCACAGCAGTTTCTGGGCTGGTTTTAAAGTTGGTGCAACAGAATCCTGAGGCTTTTTTTTTTTTTCTTTTCCCCCCCTTTCGACCAAAAATTCAAAAGCATTTAAAAAAAAATTCTGTGCATCCAATGATACCTTTTTTTGCGTGGGGGAGAGCAAAATGGATTTTATTCATCCTTTTTAGTAGCCAGACATGAAACAGATTTTTCTCGACATTTGTATAGTTCTAAAAAAAAAAAAAATCAAAAAAAAAATCTTGGCCACCAAAAATGTTTCTGTGAGAATTCAGCAGTTCTGGGCTGCAGGAAGGCAGCAGGGCCGGACGCCTGCCGGCCGGCGCTCACCCACCAAGGAGCCGTGCGGAGCCCGCATGTGCAGCACACAGCCCGGCCTCCGGCCTGGCCGCCGCCTACGCAGCCTCGCTCACCTGGAGCCGCACCACTGGGCAACAGCAACTCCAATGGGTTTCCAGTTCAGTTTGAAGTCAATCAAACTTTTGTATTATCAGTGTCTCCTTGATTGGTTTTGCTAGTAATTCTGTAAATTGTACATTTGCAATATGAGGTTTTTTTCCTTTTGTACAATTTGAAACTGATGCTTCACCTTTCCTTTAATAAACTATTGAAAATCAGGCTGTGGCAGTTTTCCCCATTCTTGCTCAAGGGTACAAAAGCATCTCAGGAGCCAGCCGCCAGTGGCTCCCGCCTGTCATCCTCAAGAGGCTGAGATCAGAGGGTAGTGGTTCGAAGCCAGCCCGGCCAGATTATGTGTACCAAAAAAGGCTGAAGGTGGAGCTGCATCCCTTGAGCAAACACAGCTCGGGGACAGTGCCCAGGCCCGAGTGCAAGCATCAAACAGCAAAGGCCTGCAACTCTTTTAGAGTTTGCTCGGGTTATCAGGTTATTTGTTTAAATGACAGCATTAGTGTTTTGAGAAGAGAACACATGAGATCAGCTCACCAATTTTCATCAGTCCTAGAATTTCCCGGAGGGGGGCACTGAGCATGGTTTGGGGGGGCGTCTTTTCAGTGGCTTGGGGAGAGACCCTCCAGGTACATCCATGTAGAGCCCAGGCCTAGCTGCTCCCAAGTGCTCTGAAGACCAGCTGCACAAGGTAAGAGTTTCTGGGCTGGGAAGGTGGCTCAGTGGTAGAGTGCTCGCCTAGTATGCATGAGGCCCTGGGTTTGATTCCTTGGTACCACATAAGCAGAAAAGGCCAGAAGTGACGCTGTAGCTCAAGTGGTAGAGTGCTAGCCTTGAGCAAAAGCAGCTCAGGGACAGTGCCCTGGCCCTGAGTTCAAGCCCCAGAACTGGCAAAAAAAAAAAAAAAAAGTTCTCTTGCTGGGGTGCCAGACCCCACGGCTTACAAGCTTCATGGCCTGGCCCTGGGGTCAGGGCTGAGTTGGTGGCGGGAGGAGAGGAGCGTGTCTGCTTGCATTTGGGCCCATAGGCATCCAGATCGGAGCTGTGGCCGCACCATCTCCCCGCTCCTCGGGAGTGCTGAGATCAGTCCCTGGCTTCACGGCAAAGGCTCGGGGCTTGCTCAGGCTTTCCAGTCAGCCACCCTGGCTTCTGTTTCCATCCACTCTTGGTGGCCGAGCAGACAGCAGGAATGTGCCGAGACCCACCTGGCGGCTGGCTTCCGGCTGGGGGTGCTGCTACCACATGGGCCAGGAGACCCCTCGCTGATATCAGCAGTTGCCACGAATAAAGCCACAGCTCTCCAGAAATCCTTGGGCACCAGGAAGACATGGCATCACCAGAGATGACATCCTCCGCCATCCAGAGACTGAGACTCACTGATGGCAAGTGGCCTCGGGCAGCGTTCTGGTAAGTTCTCCGTGGGTTGATCAGCTCGGGAGGGTGCAGGTCTCTGAAGTCCGGGTCGCATCCTGGGAACTGCAGACAGAGATGTGGTGAGGAGCCCAAAGCCCCTTCACAAGCAGCCCCCCAACACCCACCTGCCTGTGACTCACTCCTGCCAGCCCACATGGCTTGTGGGTGCTACAGCCTGCAAAGGGCACCCCAGGCTGACAGCCAGGCCCCCCGACTCTCAGGCTCTGACCCGGCACTGTGAGCTCCCAGCAGAGCCGCAGTGCCTTGTGTCAGCATGCAATGGAGAGCCGTGCTCACTGCCTGACAGCAAAACTGAGGGGCAGGGACCCCAAGAGTCTCTTCAGCTTAAAGACAACTAGGGGGGAATATGAAACTGTGCCGGGCTTCAGAAGGTCCCAACTGGACGTGGCCGGCAGAGGCGGCGCTCCTGTCAGCATCACAAGCATGGCGTGGGGCTTCCCTGGACCAGACGGGAACTCGACCGCAGGCCGCAGATTCCATGTGGAGCATCCCGTGACCCTAGCCCTGGGGCTCAGTGGCCAGCGGATGCATTCTGGGATAGATCTGAGGGTTCCGACCTAACTGATCCATCGATCTCTCACTGGTGTCATTGGGAGGAGGTGGTGCACCCCTGCACGCTGCTCCACGACGTTCTGCTTCGTGATGCTGACGCCAGCTGACTTGGTTACATCTCTTGAGACACCAGGCCACATTTAATTTCTCCTTAAATTGCTCCTGGCTGTTTCAGATTGTAGCGATGCCCGCGTCCTTTGAGTGTCCAGCAGCACCTTAATGACATAGCTACTGGTTTTAGAAACTTGGCCATCGCTGGGTCCACGGCTGGGCCCAGAAAACACAAGATAAACAGAGCAAACAGGAAATGCTCAATGGCCAGGGCGAGGCTCACTGCGGGAGCTGTGAGGAACTCATGAGGACATGAGGAACGCGAGAAACCTAGGAAGAATCCAGGAGTCTAAACACGTGGATATGCTCGCCTGGATTTGAATGTGAGGAAAGTTCCAGTTTCTACAACCCGACTAGCAAAGCAAGCAGCAATGTCACCAAGAACAGTAGCTCAAGACCGCAATTCTAGCTACTTGGGGGGGTTCGATCAAGGGATCGCAGTTCAAGACCAGCATGGGCAGGCTGAAGGGGCTGGAAGTGTGTTGTGTGGTCAGGAGCTGGGCTGCAGCCAAGGCCGTCTCCTGTCACAGACCAGCCACACCAGACAGTCCCTCGAAGGGATTGCAGCAGCCCAGGGTGACACCAGTGACATCACAGCGTGCACAGCCCACTCAGATGACAAGAGGAAACACGCAGGTCAGGGAACACAGTTCTTGGAAGCCCAAGGTGAGCCACGGGAGGACAGAGGTGACCTGTCCACACACATGAGAGGCAAAGGACACTCACTATGCCTGAGGGGGGGGCGCACGGGGAGGGACGGAGCGGTCCCCATCGAGACGCGGTGGACGGACACATTCACCTGTAAACCCTCGGCAACCACCCGATGCTCAGAAAGAAGATGCAACAAGGGCATGCATTAAGGATGTTTTTGGGGAACAGAGGGGGGACAAGAAAGAGCTGGAGCGTGAGAAGGCTCAGAACACAGTGTGAGCGTGTGGGGAACTAACAGAAATCCTCCTCCTGCGTCACGAACAGCAGAGAATATAGGAGAAAAAGCAACACTGAGCCTGAGACGCGAGGATCACAGTTCAAAGCCAGCCCTGGCAGGAAAGTCCCTGAAGGCTCCTCTCCAACGAACCACTAGAAACCAGAAGAGGAGCGAGGCTCAAGCCGTAGAGCTCTAGCGCTCGCCTGGAGCAAAAGAACTCGGGCCCAGCGCCCGGCCCGAGCTCAAGGCCCAGGACCAGCACAAACTAATCAACACAAGTGGGGTCTGGACGGCCCGTGTGGGTCGGCAGCTTCCCCGGCCGCCTCCCAGTGCTGCAAGACGGGCTGGAAGCGGAGAGCAAGCCATGAGACCGTCTTGGCTTACTGCTCTCCCAGAGCACCGCTGCCTGCCAAGGTGGAGGGGCTGGAGACGCGGTGCTGGTGAGCGCAGGGCCCTGTGGCCAGCACCCGCGCGTGTGTGGGGAGTGGGCACAGCGCCCTAGGGCCTGGCCCTCCCCCTCTTTCTTCTACCATAAAAATGCCTTCTGGCTGGGCAGGTGCTCAGTGGTGGAGCGCGTGCCCCGCATGCATGAGGCCCTGCCTGGGTTCCATTCCTCAGCACCACTTAAACAGAAAAGGCCGGAAGTGGCGCTGTGGCTCAAGTGGTAGAGCGCTCGCCTTGAGCTGAAGAGCTGAGGGACGGCGCCCAGGCCCTGAGTTCAAGACCCACAACCAACCAAAACAAATGAAAACAGCCACACTGCACTGACAGAGTCGCCTCAGAGGTAATTTACTGGAGCAGGAGTGCTGTGGGAATGCACAGGCAGGGCGGGGTCGGCGTGGCTACAGGGGGATGTTGGCGTGCTTCCTCCACGGCCGGTGCACCTTCTTGCTCACCAGGATGTCCAGGTCGTGGCAGATCCGGGCCCGCGTGGAGGACGGCTGGATGATGTCGTCCACGAACCCTGGGAAAAGGAGGCGGCCGCCAGGTGAGCGCTCAGCCTGCGGGGCAGC